GTGGTCCCTGGCTGCCTTCCAGATACTGTCATTCCTTCTTATGTGAGGGTAGAGGTCGGGCTCGAACATGTATCATTTGCAGGTAGGACAAAGACTTGAACTATTCTGTGAGTTGTGTTCAGAATGGAGTGACTTTTCAGAGAATACCCCACACTCTTGTTCTACAATGTCCGTTTCTGCCCATGTGAAAGGCAGGCCACATTAGGTGGGGCCATTCCTTCCTTACACATAGAGGAGACATTGTTGCCCTAGACCAGGTGAGGGAAGGGGAGGGTGACAGGGAGGAGTGTTGTGGGGAGTGTCTGTCTACCAGCGATGGTGGTTTCAGGTCCCAGGAGCAGATGTGTGGATATGTGGAGGGTAAGGATGGACAGCAGGGGGATTGCTATTGGCAGGCGTGGTGGGAGCATCACAGGGAGGGGGGTCATTAGGAGCATCATTGGCTGGACCAAAAGCCAGGGGACTGGAGGGGCTCACGTGGGGACCAGGTTTTTTGTGATAGAGGAGGACCTGGTGGGCAAAACAGAGACTGCAAAGAAAGGCAAGAGAGCGAAGGGTGAAAGTCCTCAAGCACAGGCACCTTAGACCACTTGATGGTTCATTTGAAAAAGTCATCGAAATCCAAATGTTAAAATCCAAAATTTCTGACTTGGAGCTGACAATGGCCCAGTGAGAGTGTTTAGGCCAGATTTGAGTGGATCATTGAATGAACATGGCAGATGGAACTTAAAAAGATGAGTGCTTTTAAACTGCCTTGGAGACGAGCCAAGGGAGAGCCTTTGGGGTCGATCATTTGAGCCCATTTTATAGTCTGGTTTAAATTTGCAACGACAAGCAGGACTGGTGTGGAGTCTTATTCTACTGCCTGGGGTGTCCTCCAGGGTTAGGGGGAAGATGAAAATGAACTTGTTAGGAGGGACCATTCCTACCAAGGTTTAGGGGAACCACAAAGTTAACTGTGGATGTTTCTCAGAACCTCCAAGCCTTTGTGATTCAGAGAGGGAGGAAGAAGCCCCTAAAACTTCTGGAGTCTGGTCAGTGCGCCTCTGAGTTCCCTTGTCCTGCAGACTTTGGGTGCATGGATGGCAGTGATCAGCCTGGAGACCAGAGAGTCTGAGAGAAGAGGTAGAGGAAGATGGATGGGGAGGGGTCAGAAGAAAGCAGAGATTGAGGTTCTATCAACAAGACTTGCACTATTCATGAAGCCAGAGGCTATGAAGACTGGAGGTCTCAGGTCAGGCTGCTGGCTGTTTAGAGTATATAGCGAATTTGAGCTTCCAAAGGAATGGCCCTGGGGCAGTGAGGAAGGAGGGCTTTCTGCCTGGAAGACCTTGAAAGGGTTCGAGATTTCAGCACTAGATGTAAGAGCCGCGAGGCAGAGATGCAGATGGACTCCTTCTCTCTCTCTCTCTCTCTCTCTCTCTCTCTCTCTCTCTCTCTCTCTCTCTCTCTCTCCCTCCCTCCCTCCCTCCCTCCCTCCCTTCCTTTCTTCCTTTCTT